CCTTTGTTGGCAATGACACAGGTCAAACGTTTTCTGTAAGTCTTCACAAGGTTTTCACACACTGTTGCTGGTATTTTGGCCCATTCCTCCATGCAGATCTCCTCTAGAGCAGTGATGTTTTGGGGCTGTCGCTGGGCAACACGGACTTTCAACTCCCTCCAAAGATTTTCTATGGGGGTGAGATCTGGAGACTGGGTAGGCCACTCCAGGACCTTGAAATGCTTCTTAAGAAGCCACTCCTTCGTTGCCCGGGCGGTGTGTTTGGGATCATTGTCATGCTGAAAGACCCAGCCACGTTTCATCTTCAATGCCCTTGCTGATGGAAGGAGGTTTTCACTCAAAATCTCACGATACATGGCCCCGTCCTGGTCCCTTTGCAGAAAAACAGCCCCAAAGCATGATGTTTCCACCCCCATGCTTCACAGTAGGTATGGTGTTCTTTGGATGCAACTCAGCATTCTTTGTCCTCCAAACACGACGAGTTGAGTTTTTACCAAAAGGTTCTATTTTGGTTTCATCTGACCATATGACATTCTCCCAATCCTCTTCTGGATCATCCAAATGCACTCTAGCAAACTTCAGACAGGCCTGGACATGTACTGGCTTAAGCAGGGGGACACGTCTGGCACTGCAGGATTTGAGTCCCTGGCGGCGTAGTGTGTTACTGATGGTAGGCTTTGTTACTTTGGTCCCAGCTCTCTGCAGGTCATTCACTAGGTCCCCCCGTGTGGTTCTGGGATTTTTGCTCACCGTTCTTGTGATCATTTTGACCCCACGGGGTGAGATCTTGCGTGGAGCCCCAGATCGAGGGAGATTATCAGTGGTCTTGTATGTCTTCCATTTCCTAATAATTGCTCCCACAGTTGATTTCTTCAAACCAAGCTGCTTACCTATTGCAGATTCAGTCTTCCCAGCCTGGTGCAGGTCTACAATTTTGTTTCTGGTGTCCTTTGACAGCTCTTTGGTCTTGGCCATAGTGGAGTTTGGAGTGTGACTGTTTGAGGTTATGGACAGGTGTCTTTTATACTGATAACAAGTTCAAACAGGTGCCATTAATACAGGTAACAAGTGGAGGACAGAGGAGCCTCTTAAAGAAGAAGTTACAGGTCTGTGAGAGCCAGAAATCTTGCTTGTTTGTAGGTGACCAAATACTTATTTTCCACCATAATTTGCAAATAAATTCATTAAAAACTCCTACAATGTGATTTTCTGGAAAAAAATATCTCAATTTGTCTGTCATAGTTGACGTGTACCTATGATGAAAATTACAGGCCTCTCTCATCTTTTTAAGTGGGAGAACTTGCACAATTGGTGACTGACTAAATACTTTTTTTCCCCCACTGTAAGTGCTACGGGTCGGTAGTCATTTAGGCAGGTTACCTTAGTGTTCTTGGGCACAGGGACTATGTTGGTCTGCTTGAAACATGTTGGAATTACAGCCTCAGTCAGGGACAGATTGAAAATGTCACTGATGACACTTGCCAGTTGGTCAGCGCATGCTCGGAGTACATGTCCTGGTAATCCGCCTGGCCCTGCGGCCTTATGAATGTTGACCTGTTTAAAGGTCTTACTCACATCGGCTATGTAGAGCGTGATCACACTGTCGTCCAGAACAGCTGATGCTCTCATGCATGCTTCAGTGTTGCTTGCCACGAAGCAAGCATAGAAGAAATTTAGCTCGTCTGGTAGGCTTGTGTCACTGGGCAGCTCGCGGCTGTGCTTCCCTTTGTAGTAATAGTTGTGCCCTGCCACATCCTACGAGCGTCAGAGCCGGTGTAGTAGGATTCAATCTTAGTCGTATATTGTTGCTTTGCCTGTTTGATGGTTCGTCGGAGGGCATTGCAGGATTTCTTATAAGCGTCTGGGTTAGAGTCCCGCTACCCTTTAGCTCAGTGTGGATGTTGCCTGTAATCCATGGCTTATGGTTAGGGTATGTATGTACGGTCACTGTGGGGACGACATCATCGATGCACGTATTTATGAAGCCAGTGGCTGATGTGGTGTACCCCTCAATGCCATCGGAATAATCCCTGAAAATATTCCAGTCTGTACTAGCAAAACAGTCCTGTAGCTTAGCATCTGCGTCATCTGACCACTTCTTTATTGACCGAGTCACTGGTGCTTCCTGCTTTAGTTTTTCCCTGTAAGCAGGAATCAGGAGGATATAGTTATGGTCAGATTTGCCAAATGGAGGGTGAGGGAGAGCTTTGTATGCGTCTCTGTGTGTAGAGTAAAGGTGGTCTAGAGTTTTTTTTCCTCTGGTAAAACGGATTTTAAGTTTCCCTGCATTAAAGTCCCCGGCCACTAGGAGCGACGCATCTGGATGAGCGTTTTCCAGTTTACTTATGGCCTTATACAGCTCATTGAGTGTGGTTTTAGTGCCAGCATCGTTTTGTTGTGGTAAATAGACAGCTACGAAAAATATAGATGAAAACTCTCTTGGTAAATAGTGTGGTCTACAGCTTATCATGAGATACTCTACCTCAGGCGAGCAAAACCTTGAGACTTCCTTAATATTAGATTTCGTGCACCAGCTGTTGTTTACAAATATACACAGATCGCCACCCCTTGTCTTACCGGAGGCAGCTGTTCTATCTTTCCGATGCAGAGAATATCCCAGACAACTGTATGTTATCCATGTCGTCGTTCAGCCGCGACTCGGTGAAACATAAGATATGACCGTTTTTAATATCCCGTTCGTAGGATGTCCGTGATCGTAGTTCGTCTATTTTGTTATCCAATGATTGTATGTTGGCTAATAGGACTGATGGTAGAGGCAGATTACCCTCTCGCCGTCAACTCCTTACAAGGCACCCCGAGCTACGTCCCTGATATCTCAGTCTCTTTCTCATGCGAATGACGGGGATTTGGGCCTTGTCGGGTGTCTGAAGAAACTCCTTAGCGTCTGACTCGTTAAAGAAAAAATATTCGTCCAGTACGAGGTGAGTAATCGCTGTCCTGATATCCAGAAGCTCTTTTCGGTCATAGAGACGGTGGCAGAAACATTATGTACAAAATAAGTTACAAATAAAGCGAAAAAACACACACAATAGCACAATTGGTTAGAAGTTCGTAAAACGGAAGCCATCTCCTCCGGTACCATTCTATAGATGGCCAATTATATCATGGGCATTAACTCCATATTAATGCCCATGATTTTGGAACGAGATGTTCGACGAGCATGTGTCCACATACTTTTGGTATCTAGTCTAGACCTGGTATAAAAGTTATGTACATACGGTGGGTGACACAATACAAGTTACCCCCACATGCCCCCCCACAAGTTGACCTCAAGATGATGTCCTAATACATTAGAAAGGGAAAAACTCAGTTTAGAGTATTAGCCAACTTGTTGAGATTCCAGAAGAATACGGGGGAGAATGGGCTTTTAAGGGGTTTACAAAGCTCCCAGTTTGCTGAGTTCCACTGAAATCCACATAAGCACACATTATTTGTGGACAGGGCTGCAATCCAGTTCTTAAATAGCTTTTTTTTCTCCTGAGAAATACCAGAAAGCACAAGGTCTGTGAACATCGCACTCTGTGGTTCATTTTTTTGCTGGAAACTCCTCCCTTATAGCATGTGAGAGGGGGAAAGGTTCAAACAATAGCATGTCTCCCCCCACTATTTGTTTACCAAGGACTGGTTGAGCTCCCTGAATGGAAGTTGGCAGTACCTCTCGCTAAATCGGTAAGATTGAATTTATTTATCGTTTTTCTCCAATCTTGGTAGAGTGAAGTTCATACATTTTGTAGCGGCATCAGTGTGTGGCATACTGGTTTACTCATCTCCAGGCATTTCATCAGGCATTGTGTTGTCTGTCACACTGTGTTGTTGGGGGCAATATGAGTGGCCTACATTTTCTGATAAGGCATTTGATTTGTTCTATGGATAATTTGCACATTCTCTGTAGACAAAATAAATATTGTCCAATGTCTTAAATATTTCTGGCATCACAAACACATGCCATTGAAAGAACTGCATCAGGCTTACTTTTTCTCATCTTGAAATGAAGACAAGAGACAACTAAGCAGAAATATCATATTGATAATCCACACTGGAAATGAGTCAGTATTTCACGAGGGCATCTCATTCCTTTTTCAGTGGTTACGGAATTTGAGTCGTATGACAGGTCTCTTCCAAGTATGAAGCAGATTGGAAATAAAACATTTGAATTAAACAATAAGGTTGTGCTTTTAGACTGTTCCCAACACAATAATGGATCTATTGATGTCCATGACGGTAATGATGTAAAAATGTCAACATCCCTTTTGATATTTTCTTCCACTTGATCTTTATCCACATACTACAAGATGCTCTGTTATCTCATTACTCAAATAAAGAGTTACCAGTGTAACTGAATAAATTACAGGAGCCCAAGGTCTTTTTGCGCTCTTTTGTATTCTGTCTCGGAACTATTTGAGAGTGTACTGTATGTAGACAATGAATAGAAGCCACAGTTTAGAGTTTTCCTGCAGCTCACACAGGACAGCCACTTGACCGCTCATGTGAAAGCTGGGTCGAGTCATGTGCTAGCTCCTCTCTGTGACGGTCTACTAAGCCCCTGTGACCACTGACTGGGAATTTCAGCTATGTGTTAGGCCAGTGTTTGCCTATTTCTTAAATCCTTTTAGGGCACTTTGTAGTATATTGGCTATATTTACAATACTTACAATGTCATTACAATAGCCTATATATGTATGACAATTTCCAAGTATATTAGTTAAGGGCACGAATTAAGCCAGCAATGTCTTCTGGGAGACCTGTATTGGATTTTCTGAAGTCCTGGCAATGTAATAGTCATTCAGCTGTATTAATTGTTGCTGTATTAATTGTAACTGTGGTGAATGTACCACTATTCACAGTAATGTCTGTAATGTTAGTTATGGCTAGAGTTGGGATCTATACAAAGGCATGTTACATGCAAGTAAGATATGACTATAAACGCCTACGGTACTTTTGTTTCATATTTTAGGGCAGGTTTGGGACAAGGCTGCACAATGATGACTGATTGGGATTATGACTACCTGATCAAGCTCCTGTCATTAGGGGACTCTGGAGTGGGGAAGACCACCTTCCTCTACAGGTACACCGACAACATGTTCAACCGCAAGTTCACCACCACAGTGGGAATAGACTTCAGGGAAAAGAGAGTGGTGAGTCGTGATGCTTTACTTCAATGTGTAGCCCATGACATTAATTTCAAACATATCATTAATTTTCAGTCATCCCTGCTCCACACCAGCTTCCAATGATAATGTGGTTATGCAAATCCAAATGTTGAATATTGGATTGTTTTTTGGATGGAATAGTAGGGGATCAACTCACAATTAAAATAGAACATTGGTAAAACATATTCCAGAGCCAAAGAGTATGCCTTTGGTCTCAGCTCTTGAGATGACACTTATTCTACAACTTTCTTGTGTCTTCAGACGTATTTGGGGACTGGTTCTGATGGAATGACAGAGAAGACTTTTAAAGTGCACCTACAGCTCTGGGACACAGCAGGGCAAGAGAGGTAGGCCACAACAAGCAGACAGTACATTTGATATCTGAACTGTCCTGCTCTGCAAGTCTGTCACATTTCATGGTATTTGCTGTTTTTCTAGGAGTATACTGTATGTAGAAATTCAAAGGCAACTTTGCATCATTGTTAGATGAGCATTTTTAATGGTATAATCCACATCTATAGCGTTACCAGCATTTGAACATTGTTGTAATTGCATAAATTCCAGGTTCAGAAGTCTCACTACAGCCTTCTTCAGAGACGCAATGGGCTTCCTTCTTATGTTTGATCTGACCAATCAGCAGAGTTTTCTGAATGTCAGGAACTGGATGAGTATGTCTCAGCACACTGATCTGCCAAAGCACTTAGATCAATGTCAGCCTGTGTAAATCTATAGTCAGTTTGAATCATCCATTTAGTAGAGCCTGTAAGTACAATACCACATTGATAGTGTATTTTACGTTGTATTTGGCATTATAGTGAATTATCTCAATCTAGCAGGGTAGCTTACTGTGTGTGATTCAAATACTAACTTACATATCCATCAATAACTGAAATATGATTACCTCTTGTTGTGATTGTTCAGGTCAGCTACAGGCAAATGCCTACTGTGATAGTCCAGACATAGTCTTAGTTGGCACCAAAGCAGACCTCAAAGACCTGAGAGATGTACAAGGAAAACAAGCCAGAGAGCTGGCGGACAGATATGGGTAAGTGAGATCGATGCCTGCTTGCTCAGGACAAAGTTCTGCTACCTCTGTGAAATGTGATCTGACCATTGGCACAGCTCACTTCTCCAGTGCCTTACCATGAACTGAGGTTGTTTGAGTTCATACTTTCAGCACCACTGTAAAGCATTTATACCGATCTAGATCGAATGCTCCAAACAGGCCCACTATTTTTCCTATTTCTGTTAATTCACAAGGAGGTGGAGTCAGTTAGCTACTACCAGCCACTCTATGGATCCTCTTTAGCATCATTAAAGGCCCTGTGCAGTCAAAAACGTGATTTCCTGTGTTTTGTATATATTTCCACACTGAGGTTGGAATAATATTGTGAAATTGTGAAAATTATGATAATGCCCTTTTAGTGTAAGAGATGTTTGAAAATACTGGCTGAAATTTCAGCCTGTTTAGGTGGGATGGAGATGTGGCCTGCCTGGTTATATCACCAGGTGGTAAATGTGTTATTAGACCAATAAGAAAGAGAGTTCCAAACCTCTCTGCGAATAACAGCTAGTGATCATTTCCCCCCCCCTCCCCACTCAGACCACTCCCAGACAATCCTAGCAAAATTATTTCTTGAGAAATTGCTCTTTGCTAAGAAGCTATTTTTGCTTCTTTTTGACCATTTAACTTGAAAACAATCACAGTAAGGTACTTAATTGTTACCCAGAAATGATTTCAACTTTAAACTAAAAATGACCCTTTTAGAAATAAACCACAATTTAACTGAACGTTGTGGCCTTTATCCATTCATTAATAATCACTATAATCAGTAAAGTGTTCAGTTTAATAAGTCCCTCCCTTTCTCCCTAGTGTCCCCTATTTTGAGACGAGTAGTGCCACAGGGGATGAAGTAGACCAGGCAGTGACCACTCTGCTGGACCTGGTGATGAGGCGCATGGAGCAGAGCACAGAGGGGCCTGTGTCAGAGGCTGCCAATGGGAGCGCTGCCATTAATGACGTGGCTGAAACCTCCACCAGCAGGAAGTGTGCCTGTTAGGATGTCAGCCACATTCCATGGACATGTGGTTGGCTGCATTCAGAATGAAGGACCATCCATGTGTAACTATTGCATCAGGGGAGTTTTATTACATTGACAAGTTCAATTATCCCATACAGTATTTTAAGGATGGGTATTATCCTCTTATGCAATAATGTGTTTATTTTTGGATTGATAACTGCTGCACTGACAAGCTATTTATTCCCAACCTGGTCAGTATTATCTTCCGAGTCTGTACATGTACTGTACAGTATGTTAATGACCAGAAACAAGCAATATAACACACAATCCAGTTTTATAATATTGTAAAATGATTAAAAAGTAAATGAAAGCACCATGTGTAGATCTCAAGCCAATACTTGCAATATGACTATGCTTTGTGTGATTCTAAATGGGTAAATACTAATCAAAAGTGTTTGAAGAAGAGTCATATGTAAAAAGTATGTTTTCTTTATTTGACACATTGAGGCATTGATGGAAGGAAAATGCAGGCACATATATTTATAACTGACAATATATAATCCAAAACCGATTATGCAACAACTCATTCACAGTCATGGTTACATTTCTTATATATGAATGAGAAAATCTATTATTGTGTTTCACAAACATAGATAGCAAAGTGCATTACAGGATCCATGAGTTCTACTGTATACGACAAGGAGCACATTTGGTACTAAGCTTGATTATTACTGGAACAAAATTGTCATGCACATTTAAGAAAGTATTGGAAATGTTTAGAGGTCATAAGTACTGACAGACAAAAATGATTCAATAAGTTTTAATACAAAGTCTTAAGAATAAGTGCTGTCATTTTAAATACAATTAATGTCAGTTTTACCAATGATTGCCTTTTGACATGAAAATGTCTGGCTGCTTTGATGACTTATCAGTTTGTTCTTATCCAAGGAATACATGCAAGCACAAACTTGGGGTGATTTGCAATCCTATAGGAATTCAGGGATTCTGTTAGTACCATTCCTTTTGAACACAAACGTGTGTGCACACACTAATACACACACATTGAACATTTTGCTCTAAAGAAATGTGGGGGAGAATACATTCTCTTCATTTATGTGAGTAGTACTGTAGTTTTCTTTGGTGATGACCAGTACATGGAAACATTTAAAGGAGGACATTCATTGAGGCAGTATAATTCACCAACAGAACCTATTAAACAAGACTGAAAAGGCAAATATACAAGTGTTTTCTATGTCAGGAAATCATTTGACAACACATCAAATAAAAAACATAAATTGAATGAAATATATTGTTGTACATTGGTTGCCATACTTAAGCCAACATTTCAAATCACGTCACATTCAGATAAATTAGCATATCTTGTTTTAATGGGCTTTCTTTGGTGTATTTACTTTTAAGAAATAAACATGAGTGAAAATATGAATCTAATTTCATTTAAAATTGAATCTACACGGCCAGGGTATGGACTAAGAGTAAACTACTACCTAACAAACTAATCGCACATTTGTATCATATATTTGTATCATAATAATGATGACAGACAGTCCTATGATGGGAAAACAAACTGGTATGTTCTAAAATATTTCTGTGAGCATGACACCCATGGTCCATATAATACTGAGTAACTTGTCTTTTAAAATAACCAATAATCTGGTTCATGAGCATAGTAAATCTGAACTCATAAGCAAAATGTGTTTTAAGGTAAATTCATAGGATTTTACATTGACAGTTCTACCCCTGCTCATAAGGGCAACCCCATATCTCGTGCATGACATGTACACTATGACACAACCCTCTGTCTAATAAATACAGCCAAGTTGTGGTGTGTTTTTCACCAACCTCACCTCCTTCCCAATGTGAGCATGTGCTGTGAGTCATCATGTGGCTATCATATGGTACCGTTTGAGCAAAGTCATTGTACAGACATCAATGGTTAAATACTGAAAGCTACAGTACCAATCCATACCCAATCCTCTAACATAGTGGAGCTTGACTTGATACAGTATACGTTTCATGTAACATTTTACTGAGGAGAGTAAAGATAATCTAGAGATATAAAAATAAAGTTACATTAGTTCTTTAATTGTCAGAATTTTGGTCCCAGTGTTTTGATAGGAATTTCTGCCTTAACACACCTTTCATACAAAGTTTCTAGTGATATTTCAATTAGAATATCAGCACAAATACAAATAATAACAAAAAACACCCTTATCCCCTCTAAATGGAATCTTCTTCGAAAAGGTTGTATAAAACTAGCCTTGAACATTTGTTAGTCTCTTACATGCAGTGCCATTCAACAGTGTATCATGCACTTTGTACAAGATGCTACAATGATTCAACAAAACTTAATTTCTCTGGTTTATGTCTCAAAGGTCAACGTAATGTATACACTGAGTGTACAAAACATTGTGAACACCTGCTCTTTCCATGACATGCAGTGGGGGAAAAAAGTATTTAGTCAGCCACCAATTGTGCAAGTTCTCCCACTTAAAAAGATGAGAGAGGCCTGTAATTTTCATCATAGGTACACATCAACTATGACAGACAAATAGAGGAAAAAAAATCCAGAAAATCACATTGTAGGAGTTTTAATGAATTTATTTGTAAATTATGGTGGAAAATAAGTATTTGGTCACCTACAAACAAGCAAGATTTCTGGCTCTCACAGACCTGTAACTTCTTTAAGAGGCTCCTCTGTCCTCCACTTGTTACCTGTATTAATGGCACCTGTTTGAACTTGTTATCAGTATAAAAGACACCTGTCCACAACCTCAAACAGTCACACTCCAAACTCCACTATGGCCAAGACCAAAGAGCTGTCAAAGGACACCAGAAACAAAATTGTAGACCTGCACCAGGCTGTGAAGACTGAATCTGCAATAGGTAAGCAGCTTGGTTTGAAGAAATCAACTGTGGGAGCAATTATTAGGAAATGGAAGACATACAAGACCAGATAATCTCCCTCGATCTGGGGCTCCACGCAAGATCTCACCCCGTGGGGTCAAAATGATCACAAGAACGGTGAGCAAAAATCCCAGAACCACACGGGGGGACCTAGTGAATGACCTGCAGAGAGCTGGGACCAAAATAACAAAGCCTACCATCAGTAACACACTACGCCGCCAGGGACTCAAATCCTGCAGTGCCAGACGTGTCACCCTGCTTAAGCCAGTACATGTCCAGGCCCGTCTGAAGTTTGCTAGAGTGCATTTGGATGATCCAGAAGAGGATGGTCAGATGAAAGTCATATGGTCAGATGAAACCAAAATATAACTTTTTGGTAAAAACTCAACTCGTCGTGTTTGGAGGACAAAGAATGCTGAGTTGCATCCAAAGAACACCATACCTACTGTGAAGCATGGGGGTGGAAACATCATGCTTTGGGGCTGTTTTTCTGCAAAGGGACCAGGACGGGGCCATGTATCGTGAGATTTTGAGTGAAAACCTCCTTCCATCAGCAAGGGCATTGAAGATGAAACGTGGCTGGGTCTTTCAGCATGACAATGATCCCAAACACACCGCCCGGGCAACGAAGGAGTGGCTTCTTAAGAAGCATTTCTAGGTCCTGGAGTGGCCTAGCCAGTCTACAGATCTCAACCCCATAGAAAATCTTTGGAGGGAGTTGAAAGTCTGTGTTGCCCAGCGACAGCCCCAAAACATCACTGCTCTAGAGGAGATATGCATGGAGGAATGGGCCAAAATACCAGCAACAGTGTGTGAAAACCTTGTGAAGACTTACAGAAAACGTTTGACCTGTGTCATTGCCAACAAAGGGTATATAACAAAGTATTGAGAAACTTTTGTTATTGACCAAATACTTATTTTCCACCATAATTTGCAAATAAATTCATAAAAAATCCTACAATGTGATTTTCTGGATTTCTTTTCTCATTTTGTCTGTCATAGTTGACGTGTACCTATGATGAAAATTACAGGCCTCTCTCATCTTTTTAAGTGGGAGAACTTGCACAACTGGTGGCTGACTAAATAAAAATTTTCCCCACTGTACATCTGTAGCCATGAAGTGCTTTGAAAGGCTGGTCATAGATCACATCAACACCATTATCCCAGAAACACTAGACCCACTCCAATTTGCATACTTCCCCAACAGATCCACAGAGGATCTATTGAACTCCACACTGCCCTCTCCCACCTGGACAAAAGGAACACCTATGTGAGAATGCTATTCATTGACTACAGCTCAGCGTTCAACACCATAGTGCCCTCAAAGCTCATCACTAAGCTAAGGACCCTGGGACTAAACACCTCCCTCTGCAACTGGATCCTGGACTTCCTGACGGTCGCCCCCAGGTGGTGAGGGTAGGTAACAACACATCTGCCACGCTGATCCTCAACACGGGGGCCCCTCAGGGGTGTGTGCTTAATCCCCTCCAGTACTCCCTGTTCACCCATAACTGCATGGCCAGGCACGACTCCAACACCATCATTAAGTTTGCCGACGACACAACAGTGGTAGGCTTGATCACCAACAATGATGAGACAGCCTATAGGGAGGAGGTCAGAGACCTGGCCAAATACTTCTTTTCCACCATAATTTGCAAATAAATTCATTAAAAATCCTACAATGTGATTTTCTGGATTTTTTTTCTCATTTTGTCTGTCATAGTTGACGTGTACCTATGATGAAAATTACAGGCCTCTCTCATCTTTTTAAGTGGGAGAACTTGCACAATTGGTGGCTGACTAAATACTTTTTTCCCCCACTGTAGACTGAACATGTGAATCCAGGTGAAAGCTATGATCCCTTATTGATGTCACTTGTTAAATCGACTTCAATCAGATCAGTGTAGATGAAGGGGATGAGACAGGTTAAAGAAGGATTTGTAAGCCTTGAGACAATTGAGAAAATATTAAGAAAGTGTTCTTAATGTTTTGTACACACAGTGAATGTGTTAGGAAGCAAATGTTTCCCTGTGTTGATACATGGGTCATAGCATGAGTGATTTTTTTTGTAAAAACAAAAAAATGCTGTTACGGTATGCATCCCACAATGTAAAGAGTGGTTGGTGAAATTCCTTTTAGCACTTTTTCGAAATGTTTTGTTCAATGAATCAAGAACAATTCTTAGTCGTGATGATAACAACAATATACACTACCGTTCAAAAGTTTGGGGTCACTTAGAAAGTTCCTTGTTTTTGAAAGAAAGCCATTTTTTGGTCCATTAACATCAAATTGATCAGAAATACAGTGTAGACATTGTTAATGTTGTAAATGGCTATTGTAGCTGGAAACGGCTGATTTTTAATGGAATATCTACATAGGCGTACAGAGGCCCATTATCAGCAACCATCAGTCCTGTGTTCCAATGGCACGTTGTGTTTGCTAATCCAAGTTTATCATTTTAAAAGCCATATCTCAGACTGGCCAATAAAAAGAAAATATTAAGATGGGCAGTCTGAGATATGGCTTTTTCTTTGCAATTCTGCCTAGAAGATCAGCATCCCGGAGTCGCCTCTTCACTGTTGAGACTGGTGTTTTGCGGGTACTATTTAATGAAACTGCCAGTTGAGGACCTGTGAGGCGCCTGTTTCTACTACTCCCACTCCTGTTTCTATTCTGGTTAGAGACAGTTTGCGCTGTTCTGTGAAGGGAGTAGTACACAGCATTGTACGAGATCTTCAGTTTCTTGGCAATTTCTCGTATAGAATAGCCTTCATTTCTCAGAACAAGAATAGACTGACAAGTTTCAAAAGAAAGTTATTTGTTTCTGGATGTTTTGAGCCTGTAATCGAACCCACAATTGCTGAAGCTCCAGATACTCAACTAGTCTCAAGAAGGCCAGTTTTATTGCTTATTTAATCAGCACAACAGTTCTCAGCTGTGCTAACATAATTGCAAAAGGGTTTTCTAATGATCAATTAGCCTTTTAAAATGATAAACATGGATTAGCAAACACAACGTGCCATTGGAACACAGGACTGATGGTTGCTGATAATGGGCCTCTGTACGCCTATGTAGATATTCCATAAATAATCAGCCGTTTCCAGCTACAATAGCTATTTACAACATTAACAATGTCTACACTGTATTTCTGATCAATTTGATGTTATTTTAATGGATAGCTATTTACAACATTAACAATGTCTACACTGTATTTCTGATCAATTTGATGTTATTTTAATGGACAAAAAAAGTGTTTTTCTTTTGAAAACAAGGAACTGTCTAAGTGACTCAGTCTATGGCTTGGTGTTGGAATGTAGATTATTCATTCGCAAATTTTAATATTACCAGCACTTTCACCAGAATCCCAATAAAATAGTGGGACTAGGACTATCACTACATTATCTGTATCTATATAGGGAAGCAATTACATACATTAAGGGGTATTGTAAACAAATCTCACTGCTACAGTAGTTAGCAGTGCAGTGTGCTGGCTGGGCCCATTATCTGTCTGCTGGCACCTGTGGTAGTTCACTGTATGCTGAAAAGGGATGGAAAATAGACAGTGTGTCTGATTGCACCTCAGTGGGGGCATTTGAATCTGATTTTTAAAAAACGATTCTCTTAACTCCTTCCCTGAGACTAAGCAGTGATATCAAAAGAACAATCAAATCCCCCTTGAAATAAGGCTATAGCCTAATAATAATGATGCCCCCCAACTCACTCCTACGTTCTGGAAATAGTGATTATTTTTCATAAAATGTATGTGTTTTATTGATCTATTTATCCACACAATGATGGTATCAATGCAAATAATGTGATGTGAAATATTGTATAAGTACTATGATAGTGTGACATAATATTTTCAGCATAACATACATCATAACGTCATCATCAACCAGTAATTCACATTTGAAATATTATGCCATGTTCCTCGTAACCTAAAGTGTGAATTACATACTCTGTGACAAAGCCGAGGCAAGATGCAGTGGTGATATGACAGTGTGTTTGTAGAGTGAAAGAGTAATACGTCTTACTACTAAATCATGCATTGTCTGCTTCGAGTCGCAAAATATATTATGTGAGCTCAAGGTCCGCTGCTGTGTTGGAGCACCACAAAATGAATTTCTTGATGCTCGGTCACCCAGGCTGGAATGTCTAAGAACAGTGTGAAAGGCTCAGCTTGGTCACACCTTCTCCATGCATCTTGTAGAGCAGCTTAAACTCACTGGGCAGCTGGTGGGTCTCCTGCCACTTGGTGGTGAACTTGGTTCCTTTCTTGTCATAGTAGTGGTAGGGCAGCTCTTTGCCTGTGTTGGGATCCCAGCCGAAGGGCCAGAAGCCGTACAGATGGATCTCCTCACACATGGCCGAGGCCAGAGTGTACATGAGGATACCAGTGCTGAGTCGCTTTGGGGACAGGTTCTTGGTCTTCCAATATCTATGGGGAAAAAATTAAGACTTTTTTGGACAATGAAGTGTTCGACAGATGGCAAGAAAGACAGTCAAAAATAAATCATAAGGAATAAGGTGTTGAAGTGTCTGTCCTATATCTAAGAGATAAGAAAGCTCAGGAAATATTTGTGCTTTTTTGGACATATTTAACCCCTTATTATTGTTGGCACAAAACTACCTCCATACTTCCATTCGTGTTACCTTCAGACGAGTCCCGTGACACTTGTGGGGGTCATAGAGCAAAACGGAAAGTCTCCCCTTTCCATAGTGGGGTCATATTAGTTTTGTAAGCCAAACTGTTCGGAAGCTACAGACGTTTTCATGAAAAGACCGATTTTCGGTATGTCTCATGGTCTGACAAACACCGCTGTAGCTTGGCCACCTTCCACCGCAGATGTGGAAGGCCGATATAGGCGGATGCGGTCGATTGAGACGCAGCCGATGCAAAAACCGGATATGTCTAGCTTAAACTATTTTTGGCCACACCATGAGAGTAAATGTCATGCATATTAATCTGTTCTGTTGTATTGTATCACATGTTAAGATTGTACACTGTAATTTAAAATGTTCCTTAAATATTTTTGCATATTAACATTATTAATTACATATTGTAATAAAGTGGTAGCTATCCCAGTATAGGTTCTTATAGATGGAATCCACAGTAGGGGGAAACAGCGCCACTGGCCGCCCCACCACCAATGTTTTTTCTTTTTTCAGAGCTGAGGAGCGTTGCACAGCATGGTAAAAATTTTGCAGTACATACAGTGAGGGAAGAAAGTATTTGATCCCCTGCTGATTTTGTACGTTTGCCCACTGACAAAGACATGATCAATCTATAATTTTAATGGTAGGTTTATTTGAACAGTGAGAGACAGAATAACAAAAAAAAAATCCAGAAAAACGCATGTCAACATTTTTATAAATTGATTTGCATTTTAATGAGGGAAATAAGTATTTGACCCCTCTGCAAAACATGACTTAGTACTTGGTGGCAAAACCGTTGTTGGCAATCACATAGGTCAGACGTTTCTTGTAGTTGGCCACCAGGTTTGCACACATCTCAGGAGGGATTTTGTTCCACTCCTCTTTGCAGATCATCTCCAAGTCATTAAGGTTTCGAGGCTGACGTTTGGCAACTCGAACCTTCAGCTCCCTCCACAGATTTTCTATGGGATTAAGGTCTGGAGACTGGCTAGGCCACTCCAGGACCTTAATATGCTTCTTCTTGAGCCACTCCTTTGTTGCCTTGGCCGTGTGTTTTGGGTCATTGTCATGCTGGAATACCCATCCACGACCCATTTTCAATGCCCTGGCTGAGGGAAGGAGGTTCTCACCCAAGATTTGACGGTACATGGCCCCATCCATCGTCCCTTTGATGCGGTGAAGTTGTCCTGTCCCCTTAGCAGAAAAACACCCACAAAGCATAATGTTTCCACCTCCATGTTTGACGTGGGGATGGTGTTCTTGGAGTCATAGGCAGCATTCCTCCTCCTCCTAACACGGCGAGTTGAGTTGATGCCAAAGAGCTCCATTTTGGTCTCATCTGACCACAACACTTTCACCCAGTTCTCCTCTGAATCATTCAAATGTTCATTCGCAAACTTCAGACGGCCCTGTATATGTGCTTTCTTGAGCAGGGGGACCTTGCGGGAGCTGCAGGATTTCAGTCTTTCACGGCGTAGTGTGTTACCAATTGTTTTCTTGGTGACTATGGTCCCAGCTGCCTTGAGATCATTGACAAGATCCTCCCGTGTAGTTCTGGGCTGATTCCTCACCGTTCTCATGATCATTGCAACTCCACGAGGTGAGATCTTGCATGGAGCCCCAGGCCGAGGGAGATTGACAGTTCTTTTGTGTTTCTTCCATTTGAGAATAATCGCACCAACTGTTGTCACCTTCTCACCAAGCTGCTTGGCGATGGTCTTGTAGCCCATTCCAGCCTTGTGTAGGTCTACAATCTTGTCCCTGACATCCTTGGAGAGCTCTTTGGTCTTGGCCATGGTGGAGAGTTTGGAATCTGATTGATTGATTGCTTCTGTGGACAGGTGCCTTTTATACAGGTAACAAGCTGAGATTAGGAGCACTCCCTTTAAGAGTGTGCTCCTAATCTCAGCTCGTTACCTGTATAAAAGACACCTGGGAGCCAGAAATCTTTCTGATTGAGAGGGGGTCAAATACTTATTTCCCTCATTAAAATGCAAATCAATTTATAACATTTTTGACATGCGTTTTTCTGGATTTTTTTGTTGTTATTCTGTCTCTCACTGTTCAAATAAACCTACCATTAAAATTAGAGACTGATCATTTCTTTGTCAGTGGGCAAACGTACAAAATCAGCAGGGGATCAAATACTTTTTTCCCTCACTGTATTGTGCTCTTCTATCGCGTGTCCAATAAAACAAAAGTGTGTTTGTTGTTTGCAGTAACTTATTTGCTGTTGTAATATCGCAAATGGATGTGGCTGTTTCACCATTAATGACTCCAGCTTTAAAGCTCCAATGCAGCCATTTTTATCTCAATATCAAATCATTTCTAGGTATCAATTAAGTACCTTACTGTGATTGTTTTCAATAAAAAATATAACTTCTTAGCAAAGAGCAATTACTCTAGCAAGAATTGTGCTAGGACTGTCTGGGAGTGGTCTGAGTTGGGAGGGTAAAACTAAAAACTAGCTGTTATTGGCTGAGAGGTTTGTAACTCTCTTTCTTATTGGTCTATTAACTCATTTACTGTCTGGTGATGTGACCAGGCAGGCCAAAACTCCATCCCACCAGGCGGTCTTTGCAAACTGCTCTTACACGAAAAGGGAATTATCATAATTTTCCACAATTTCATAGTATTATTCCTACCTCATAGTGTGGAAATATATATAGACCACAGGAAAATAACGTTTTTTATTGCACTGGGCCTTTAAGGAACACAAACACCTCTGTAAGCCTTCTGTAAGCCTCATAAAAGCTTAAGAACTGCCAGTGTTCAACCTTAACATGTGCTAACAATACAACAGAACAGATTAACAGGAATGACATTTACTCTCACAAGTGGCCAAAAATAACTATCTGAAAGCCACGCCCCTACTAAGCCACGCCTCCAGTCTATTTCAATAACCCAGCATCAACAACCCAACCTTGCTCTTTTTAAAGAAAACAACATATGTGACCCAATGCCTGTAACCCAGCAGTTGGGTCATCCAAACAACCCAGCATTTTCTTTGTGTGTACAGTTTGTAGTAACAATGGTGTCTGAAAGTGAGAACAAAACCACCAATGACAGTTCTAATTCTCAGAACTCTGGCACAATAAACTCAGTCTCTCCATACTCACTTGTTGACATCCTGCATGATGTTTCCCGGCCAGGCCAGCTCGATTTTCAGCTGCCCCTTGTGCTCAACAAAGAAGTCCACCAGGGTCCGTGTGACGGTGGCCGAGGTGTGGAGGAAAAATGCAGGGATCCACAAAATTGCCCCCTCCAGCTTCTTCAGGTTGAGGAAGAAGTTGTTGCGGTCTTGGATGGTCAATAGGTTGTTGTAGTACCTCTCCAGGATGCTGGGGTTAAAGGTGGTGAGGTTGGTCTTCCGGCCCACATCCTTGTAATAGGAGTCGGTAGGGGCGAAGTTACAGCGGAAGATAAAGTCGGCACTGTCGATCTCTGGCCCACAGTGACTACCGGTCAGGATCCCACTGTTACCCACCACAGCACACACGTTGTAGTGCTTGTTCTGGATGGGTGAAGCATCAGGAAGCAGTGACTTCAGGTTGTTGCTTATAGAGAAGACATACTTGTGACTGGAGTAGTCGAAGTGCATCAGCTGGCCGACGCGCACACCATTCTTGGTGAGGGAGAAGTTGTTGGCCACATCAATGTAATGGAAGATCTCTTTCCTGAAAGGTAGTAAACAGATCAAAATATCAGCTCACAGCTACTGTTTCAACAAAATGCAATGTTATGTAGCCAACTGCACATGACAAATAAACTGAAATGTTCTACTAAACACATAAACAGTATTCTGTTTAAACTGAACACTGCATTAAAAACAATAGAAAATGTTTCTACAGATTATTACAGATATCCCACATAATAATAATAAATAATACCTTTGCTGATAAAAAGCTGTCCTATTGAATTTCCATTTGGAGGGTTTCCCTTGCAGCTCCTCATTCAGAGCATTGGTTAATGGGATGAAGGATGGGTCCAGGAAATTCATGGCAAACTGTGACCTGAGAAGAAAAGGGTTTTCCTTAGTAAAGACGCTATTGATAATGTCAGCATTACATGTCCAAGCCCACTCATCGCATACGTTCAGGCGTGGGCTTGTAACAATAGGCACAATAAGAGCTTGCATCACCTTGGACAGTTCTCTTGATTAAAATAGGGCTACTGATGGAGCAACGATAATTGGTTAAATATATATACATATATATATATATATATATAATATATATATATATATATATATATATATATATATATATATATATTAACACTAACCTACTGTCAATGATTCTACAGTTAAATTGTCATAAACAAATTAATGTAGGACTAATTGACGCAGGGTTTTGCTTTAGATTAGGTTACTTCCGCGTGCAGAGGAATTATTATTTATTTTGGCCATATAATGCCATAACCTACAGAACAATGTGGACATAATTAATCATAAAGATTACGTTGGAAAAAATTGTCACGCGTGCGCCTTGACAGAGTGACATAAATCACATTTTATCTGACCATTTCAGGGTTTTTGCGTGCGTCATATCAAAATAAAAAATGATGAGCTTCCAGGTCTTGGTTTAGCCTACTCACCGAAATCCTGCGTGGAACATTATCCGTGGTCCTCCCATATTGTCATTTTTTGTGGAAGAGAAGATGCTGTCCTTTCTAATGGACACATAACTTATTAAGGATAAAATGAGAAGAGCGACCATCAATATGACCAGACCCAGGGCGTTTGCGATGCGGACCATCTTGGAGCGTTTTCATTCCTCGAAGAACAATGGAAATGTGCCAGCCTTCATCACCTCAATTCTAGATGTTGAATTTGGCTATACATATTGGTATTATGATACAAAATAAACATGCTTTCCCATGTAAAATGGACGGCAAATGTGCAATGCGGTTGAAATGGCAGTTAGCGATTTGTCTTCGTGCACTCTCATCATCCCTGCTGCCTTGCCTTGGCTTCGCGCTGAACAACAAATTCTCTCCAGGCAGCCAGATTCATACCATTAGGGCGATGCATCTGAAATTCACATCAATGTATCAATCCAACAAAGTTCTCACCGGTCTCCGTTACGCACCCTCTCCCCAGTAAATAATTTCACATATTCTGGTGCAAATGGAGAAGTGTTTGTTGAGCCCAGATGAAAATACGACTAAAAAAAAAAGTGTCATGGCTGTATTATACCTCCGTGGTTTAGAGATGGGAGCAATAAACTGACTGTGTTATGCATACCATCGAAGATGACTTGCTGACTGTATAAAATACTGTATCACATAATATTTTGCAAATGTGGAAGCCTGATCAGCATCTGAAAAAGTGATGTCCCTACGAATACTAAAACATATACATCTCATTAACAGTAGCTTATTATTCATATGGTAATCGTTTAAAGGTCCAATGCAGCCGTTTTTAATTTGATAACAAATAATTTCTGGGTAACAATTAAGTACCTTACTGTGTTTTTTTCAATTTAAATGGTCAAAAACATACAAAAAGAACTTCTCAGCAAAGAGCAATTTCTCAAGCAATAATTTTTCAAGTACTGTCTGGGCTTGGTCTGAGCGGGAAGGGGAAAACTGAAAATTGCTGTTATTGGCAGAGAGGTTTGGAACTCTTTTCTTATTGGCCTTTTAACTAATTTACCTCCTGGTGATGTCACCAGGCAGGCCAAAACTCCATCAAACCAAAACAGGCTGACATTTTCAAACAGCTCTTACACTGAAAGGGCATTATCATGTTCACAGTATTGTTCCAACTTCATAGTGTAGAAATATATACAGTGCATTCGGAAAGTATTCAGACCACTTGACTTTTTCCACATTTTGTTACATTACAGCCTTATTGTAAAATTGATGAAATAAAACATTGTCCTCATCAATCTACACACAATACAAATGTGGGAAAAAATCAGAAATACCTTATTCACATAAGTATTCAGACCCTTTGCTATGCATTTCGAAATTGAGCTCAGGTGCATCCTGTTTCCATTGATCATCCTTGAGATGTTTCTACAACTTGATTTGAGTCCACCAGTGGTAAATTCAATTAATTGGACATGATTTGGTTCCCACAGTTGACAGTGCATGTCAGAGCAAAAACCAAGCCATGAGGTCGAAGGAATTGGCCCTAGAGCTCAGAGACAGGATTGTGTCGAGGCACAGATCTGGGGAAGGTTACCGAACAATTTCTTCCACATTGAAGGTCCCCAAGAACACAGCAGCCTCCATAATTCTTAAATGGAAGAAGTTCGGAACCACCAAGACTCTTCCTAGAGCTGGTTACCAGGCCAAACTGAGCAATCGGGGGAGATGGGCCTTGGTCAGGGAGGTGACCAAGAACCCGATGGTCACTCTGACAGAGCTCCAGAGTTCCTCTGTGGAGATGGGAGAACCTTCCAGAAGGACAGCCATCTCTGCACCACCTCACCAATCAGGACTTTATGGTAGAGTGGCAGACGGAAGCCACTCCTCAGTAAAAGGCACATGACAGCCCGCTTGGAGTTTGCCAAAAGGCACCTAAAGGACTCTCAAACCATGAGAAACAAGATTCTCTGGTCTGATGAAACCAAGACTGAACTCTTTGGCCTGAATGCCAAGCGTCACATCTGAAGGAAACCTGGCACCATCCCTACGGTGAAGCATGGTGGTGGCAGCATCATGCTGTGGGGATGTTTTTCAGCAGCATGGACTGGAAGACTAGTCAGGATCGAGGGAAAGATGAACAGATCAAAGTACAGCTGCTCTTTAATTATTATTTTTATATTTTTTTTACTTAACACTTATTTTTCTTAAAACTGCATTGTTGGTTAAGGGCTTGTAAGTAAGCATTTCACTGTAAGGTCTACACCTGTTGTATTCGGCACATGTGGCAAATAACATTTGATTTGATTTGAGATCCTTGATGAAAACCTGCTCCAGAGCGCTCAGGACCTCAGACTGGGGCGAATGTTCACCTTACAACAGGACAACGACACTAAGCACACAACCAAGACAACGCAGGAGTGGCTTCGGGACAAGTCTCTGAATGTCCTTGAGTGGCCCAGCCAGAGCCCGGACTTGAACCCGATCGAACATCTCTGGAAAGACCTGAAAATAGCTGTGTTGCGACGCTCCCCATCCAACCTGACAGCGCATGAGAGGATCTGCAGAGAATGGGAGAAACTCCCCAAATACAGGTGTGCCAAGCTTGTAGCATCATACCCAAGAAGACTCGAGGCTGTAATCGCTGCCAAAGGTGCTTCAACAAAGTACTGAGTAAAGGGTCTGAATACTTATGTAAACTTAATATTTCATATGTAGTTTTTTGGGGGAAATTTCCTAAAAACCTGTTTTTGCTTTGTCATTATGGGGTATTGTGTGTAGATTGATGATGAAAAAAAAACAATTTCATCCATTTTAGAATAAGGCTGTAACGTAACAAATGTGGAAAAAGTCTGAATACTTTCCGAATGCACTGTATATAGCACAGGAAATTCACTGACTGCACCCCATGGGCCTTAATAATAGGGAATACACAGTAGGGTTTAAAAATAGTAATCCTTTTATTTGCAGGGTTCTTTTTTCCAAGTAAACATGGTTCGTTTATAACAAAATGTTGATATACAGTAACATTAAATGGCTTATTCACAAAGAATGATAAAACATATTTTTTTTTTTATGTACATTTGTTACTCATTTTTTAAATGTAAATATTTTGCACGTGTACTGAATCAACAATCACCATTCTCTAACACAATCCCATTGACATACTTCCATACAAGTCACCATTAATAGAATACAGGATCATCCTACATATAATCTCACTAACACATTACAATAACGTGGTGTATAGGCAACTATTACATTAATACTATTCTATAAAACTGGTAAAACTTGCACAATGTACTAATGTTGGGTATTTCCCATTGATTGAACAGTCAGTGTGCGGGTCTGACATCCTAGGAAGAAAATAATTTCACCATTGTGCTTGAAGAGATAGTACACCCAAATTACATACTGTATTGGTTTCCTTACCCTGTCTATGGACAAGGTATGACAGCAATCCATGCTTTGGTTTAGCATCCCTTGCAGTGTTTCCACATGCTAACGTTTTAGCATTTGTGCAACAAATCTAATATTGCATTTTTTTGTGCATAATGTTCAAAACATCTAGAAGTGACTTTGTTGAGCTTCACAATCAATTTTAGATACTTTTGGATGATTTGGAATACTTGCGTGAAAACTGCTAATATCAATCCCATTACTTGAATGGGATTTGTGCCACAAATGCTAAAACGTTAACATGTGGAAACAGTGCCAGGGAAACTAAACCAAAGTATGGATTGCTGTCATACCTTATGCATAAGACTGCTTATTACACGGGTAAGGAAACTAATGTGTCATTTTGTAATTTGGGTTAACTATCCCTTTAACATCAACTGGAATGTGTCAAGTTTTGACATAGATTGACACCAGGAGCATATTTAAAAAGGCATTCAAAGATCTTATTGCCAGTCAGCTGCCAAGATATTGCAATTTAAATTCCACTAAGATCTTATCTAAAATCATAACAAAAGTTTAGAAACTGCACATGGATTAACACAGGCACTTGGTAGGGCCTGTCCTTCAGTATTTCCAGAATACATACATATGTAGCAGAGCTGGTTTGTTGAATACACTCGCTCCCGTGATCAGTAAACTTACTTTGGACCGGAAGATTTGTTAGCTTCCACACCTAGGCTTTAGCTCAGAGATCTAACAAGGCGCGCAGGCAACCCGAGTTAGATACCCGTCTGTCACACATACAGTATAGTAATTAACAGAAATGTTTTACGAACGACAACGAAAGTTACATTTAGGGAAAAGTTACAGTTAGCACCCTGGTTACACATTTAATCTCAATCAAGAATTTGAGCTCATCAAAAGGAGAGGAGTATCATTTTCTGCCCTGGTTGCGAAACTCTGAGGGGAAGAAGGCTCCCTCTGCGTCGCTTCCAGGAGAGCCGCACAGGCTGTCCTCTTCACAGCTCATGTCCTCACAGGAATCCTCACTATATATAGCAGGGGAGAACAGATGTAATCATTACTATCTTCATATTATTTAGTTAACTTTTCTTTCTTCCCTGAAACATCATAGCAATGCTGTACAATGTAGAAGTGATGTGGTGCATTACGTTGCAGTTCAATTCAATAATTAGCCTTTATGTTCACACACAGGTGTTCTAATGTAATCAAATATTATTAAACAGTAAAGTGCATTAAAAGGGGCTGTTTGTTTACCTCTCACTTTCATCCCAGCTCCCCTCTGGAATAGTCGGCAGTTCAGGGACACTGAAGTGATTTGCGTGCAAATTTTGGGCGGTTCGTCTGGACACAATCCACACCAGTTTTTTGTTGTCTGGTTTGTTACATTCACTTGAGCTGTACTCAGTCATGCATTTGGCCACAAGTCCCCTCCAGTAGAGTAACTCACTGTCAACAATCTGTGAAGGGAACAGTAAACATTCGAGAGGCTGACAGAAGACATAAATATAATAAATAAATAAATAAATAAATAGAGTAGTCATCCCAAGCCAGAAGGTGCTAGTTTCCATGTAGCATGTTGTCAGATGATTTCACTTGTTCAATGCCAGGGTAAAGCTACTGTATAATGTCAGTGTCAGCCTCAGTGGGTCTTTGTATTATAACAATATAATAACTAAGTCAAACTGTATAATACCTTTAGGTGCCTTTGGAGTTCTTGGACAATTTCCAACATGGCAAGGGACTGGAGGGCATCAAATTCCTGAGTAATAACAGACAGTGCCAGCACCGATGGCTGAAGAAAAAAATGAAAAAGCGTATCAATCCAGCAACTCAAAGTTAACATTCTTATCAGTTAAAATGGTATTGGCCTGAGAATAATTCTTACCTTTGCTTTAGAGAAAACAAGCTGGCATAAGCAGGCTTTTAGCTGGGCTTCCAGTCTCCCAATGCTTGGGATCTCCCCCCTTAAAATAAAGGGAACTCTCATGTGATCCTCATGTCAACTGATCATTAGCATATCAACTTTACAGCTTCTAGCCATTGGAAAAATACATCACTGATGACATAAGGCAAAAAGTGATCAATTGAGAAACAAAGTCCTCACCTTTCTGACGTAAGTGATACGATGACAGCATGGTATAAGTGTAAAAAGGTTAAGGCTGTGATGGCTTTGAACTCCAAGTTGAGTTTTTCAGAGATGATCTTCTCCATGCGGCTGAGGTCAGAAACGGTGAACTTGCTTTGGCTGATGCGAATGAGTTCATGGGTGGGTGAGATGTTGCACTCGTCCTCAACCATTTTGGCAGCAATATGGAGACAGGAGACTCCAATGCAGGGCAGGTGCTTAGGTTGGACCTGTGAAGATACCATTATAGTGATACACTAGTCACCATTAATGGGCTACTTCTGCGGAGTTATATTATTATAATAAATACAATAAAAAAGGCATGCACATTTACATAACGTAAACAACACCGGTATCAAACAATAATAAACAAAATGCATACAATATGCAATTTATGTAGAATATTAAGTATGACCACATCACAAAACAAATATCTTTAAAATACACACCTTCATAATGGCTAAGAACCTATCCAGTAGATTGACAGCTAGGACAAATGTCTTGGTGCTGAAACCAAAGAAGCTGGTCAGGCTCCACAGGTCTTCAACTTTGGCATTTCTGCATTTTGCAGAGACTCCATTGTGATTCTGAAAATGAATGGGAAATTGCACAACAAAACATCAAAATAGCACATCAAAACACTACTGAAAGGTAAGCACAGTATATAGAACTGGGTCACTGGGTTAGCAATACCTACCTCTGCTGCAGACTCCATTATATTGAGGCCAGTTTCCCTCGGTAAAAAGTCTGCTTCTTGAGCAATATTTGACTCCAGTTCTTTGACAAGCCAAGATGTTTCATTGTCAAGGTCTTGAAGATCCTGCATCCTGAAAAAACATTTCGTTTTATGTGATTAGATCCAAAATAAATAACGGTAACATTTCCCTCAGAGAAAGGGGGACTGTTTTACCCCACCCACAGGGTGTCAAATGTCAAAAGGCAGCCACCCATAATAATAGCTTGCTAGATAGCTAGCTATGTATTACAATAGGCCCAATACACTTCATTAAAAAAAAGCTGTTCCTTTGTGGCCGACCACAGAATCCACTGGATTCTCTGCGCTTGAATAAGTTCCTTGATGCTGCTAATCTCAAGATGAAGTATTTTCTCTGTGACAGACTTGGTTGACTTGACAGCATCAACTAAGGAGTAGTTGTCAGTGACACAAACTACAGGTAGAATGTGCCATTTTGTCTCACCAGTGGTAAGCTCTGAGAACAGAGTTGCCAGAACGATGGCAATGTCAATTCCATTCGCAAGAGCTAGGGTTTCTCCAGCTAGTGTGCTTTGGACAACCCCTTCTGATCCTCTTTGACTGCCAACAGATAGGTGACAATCTTCTTTCTTCAGCCATTAATACGATTAGATGTCCACCTTGTGCCTCCATCTGTAAGGTTCCCTAGGAAAGCATCACTGAAGACAAGTTTCAGAGAGTCATCTTTTCCAACATGCTGAAACTTTAGAGTCACTTCTTGTGATTTCAGTTTACGAACAACTTTGTTTGCCTCATGAATGGTTTGTACAGTGGCGTGTTTTGTGTTGGATGCCAAGTTGCAGCCATCAAACATTACATCAGGTCTACTCTGTCTAGCAACCCATAGAATTTGACCTATCTTTGACCTCAATTGATCAGCTTCAATTCCACAGAGAGGGGAATTCCTTTGTACGGCTCTTGAAGAATCCATGTGGATGGGTTGAAGATTCTTGATATAGCTTTCCTGTTGCATCAGTATTGATCTGTCAATTGTAATAAACTCTATGCCAACATAACAAAAACTATCATGCTCCTCACGGCCGACCTGGAAAACAGCTTTGTGTGGAATCACAGTTGTAGCAAAGGTCTGTGAGCCACCCCAGATGAAGTCATCAATTAATTATTTGCCATTTTTAAACTGCATTGTTGGTTAAGGGCTTGTAAGTAAGCATTTCACTGTAATGTCTACACCGGTTGTATTCGGCACATGTGGCAAATAACATTTGATTGATTTGATCAACATGACAGGCAAGTACTCCAGTCACATTGCAGTCTTGATCAAGCCAATAGAAGACTGCAGGATCCACTTGTGACATTTTTCCATCTGTACTCAGCATTGTTGCCTTGACTTTGTTGTACCAGTAGAGTGATGCATCTGCCAGGCCATACACACACTTTTTTAGTTTCCACAGTGTTCCTTCGATCTTAGCTTCAGGCGGAGGTCGGATGTGAATGTCCCTTGACAGCTCTGTTCCCTGCAAAAATGCAGATTTGATGTCTATGGAATGAAGTTTCCATTTTTTTCTGGCAGATCACTGTCAGCAGCAATCTGAGTGACTGAGGCGCATGTCGGTGAGTCTTTTGGGAGTTCTTTAGCAGCCAGCTCCTCAAAACCTCTAGCCACTAGACGTGCTTTTGGCACTATTCCAGTTAAGGATTCTTTAAAAGTACACACCCACCTTGTTGAGACACATTTTTGGCCAACGTCTTTGACTTCCTCAAACACTCAATTTTTCCTCCAATTACTGAGCTCATCTAGTTTAGCTGAGTCAAATGACACATCCTTTGTTTCAAGTACATCATCATTTTGAATGTCATTCTGTTTTTCTCAATTTTCCATTGGTTAAATTCCAAGATTATCTACAAGTGACAGGTCAGCTGACCCTGTTGTACCAGAAAGTGTAGCTGGTTCAGAGTACTGCAAATTGTACCAGTTCTGGTATTTTCCTGCTCATCCAATGACGGTTGCTGTGTGTGGAATACCACTTTCTATGTCCATGTATTTAACAGTTTGTCCAGTTTTCAGATTGGAACCACCATGTTGTCTTAACACGTGGCTGTTGTTGAATGTTTTCCTAATTTGAACCCTCAACATTATTACCTGTGCCATGGTTGAAGGTCTCTGCTCCATTTCCTGTGTCCGTTTCAGTGTCCATTTCATTGGATGTGACATCTGGTAGGTTTGTGTCTGTTAATGTGTCCTTTTTGTCATTTTCAGCAACAGACCCTCCATCTTGTTGATCATTTATTTCCGCAATCTTGAGTGATGCACCCTGACAATGGTGCCTCACAAGTACCACCACACCATCTTGGCCAATGACTACTCCCGGTCCTTTCCACTCGACAGTCAACTCGTTTGTAGTACACTTTGTTTCCAGTCTCGTACTTCTCATTGGTGGGTCGAAGCTGTTTACGCAGAGCCCTGCGAATTCTCTCTGAACACTCTGCTTCAGTGAATGCTTTTCTCGCTGCATGTAGTGCTGAAAGGTGCTGTCCCACCCATGCACTCATACTGGTCCCTTCTAGTGCTGGTGGCTTGTCAACCAGTACAGAGGGAAGATTAGGGTTCTGCCCGAACTCTAGTTGGTATGGGCTGTAGCCATGAACATTGTGCATTGAGCTATTTGCCATCAAAGCCCAATCTAGGGCTGTTTTCCAGTCACATCCATTGTCTTGCTTCACTTTCAGCATAATCTCTGTGAGTGTTTGATTATGTCTCTCCAGAAGTCCATTGCTCCATGGACTGTATGCAGCAGTTGTTGAATATCTCAGCCATTGCTCTTATTTCATTATTATTGAATTCTCCTCCATTGTCACTGTACAATTTCTGGGGCGGGCCATGCACACTTATCCAGAAATGAATGAAGTGCTTGACGATTTCACTGGGTTTCTTTGTATTCACGATGCTTCCAGCACTGAAGCATGTGAAGTGGTGGATTATGTGAAGGTACCACACACTTGGTCCTAACTCATGTAGATCTACAGTCACTGTTTCATTGTACTTGGAAGCCAGTGGCAAATCAACAGCTGGTCTGGGCTTAGGTTTGCTGTATTTCTGGCATATCTCACAACTTTTAACTATCTGCCGTAGAATGGAAATACTCATCATCGTTATTCCCAGAACTGCTGAGTAATTTCAGAAGTCTCAACTGTAGCATGTCCAAACTGTTTGTGAAGTTTTAACAATACTTAGTTTTTTTTCCTCTGTGTTCATGTTCTCTGTGACTGTCAGAATCTCCATGTGATGTGTCTGTCAGAATCTCATTTTTACATGGATATGTGTGATGTCTTTGTCTAAAATGTTTACACAATAGTGACCTGAGGTAGTAAGTTCAAGGGTCACTGGTTGTTTAAACATCACTGCCTTTGTCATTTTGTATGTCTAGTACAGCCCATGCCTTCTTGAGGGAAGCTTTGCTTAATAGTAAGGGGATATCCGCAGGGACCACCTCTGTTTCAATGTGACACTTAGTTTGACCAATTTTTGCTGGTATCTTGACTCTCTTGGTAGAATGGCCGACTCTCCCATCTCCAAATTTGAAAGCTCTGTTGCTTGGTATGTCAATCATATTTTTATAAAACTGCATTGTTGGTTAAGGGCTTGTAAGTAAGCAATTCACTGTAAGGTCTACACCTGTTGTATTCGGCACATGTGACAAATAAAAATCGATTTGATTTGATTATTGACAGATATTTATTCCCCACATATTCTCAAGTCAGGACTCACAAAGCCTAGCAAACTCAACTCAACTCCTTGATTTACAATGGAGTTGAGCAGTGTCTAGGGTGGGTGGACTGGAGCGCCAACGTCACATAAATGGTCACAACATTTTTTAATAAAAACTATTGATTTCAGCAACCAAAGAATAGCACACAATTACACAGAACAATCTTGTATGTAATTGTGGGCTATTCTTTGGGTGCTGAAATCAGTAGCTAGTTGTGAAGTTGCTGCGCAACTCTTTTGTAAATCCTGGAGTTAATCGGCTAACAAAAGCCACGTCTGTAACTTGTGTTGCTTGCAGTATTGTTCTTTTCATTTTGACCTGAAATGATGTCATCCATTCTATGGACAGAAATTAGATTTTCACCAAAATGTAGAAATGACAGCTAAATGTAGTGATAGACAAAAATGCTGTTGAGGCTTATTTAATTAAGCCTAAATGAACATTATTATTACGTTTTATGGTTTACATGGAGACCTTTGCCTGTCATCTTTAACATTATATGTTAAAAAGTATCCACCAAAATCTTATTGATAGTAGAATGGATGGATTGAAAAGCAAGCTGTCTGTTCTAATTATTAAGGGGGGGGGTTTGAAGCTTCCTAGTTAGCAGCTAGCTAACGTTATCTGAAACAACTGTCGTATGTAGGTCACCTATCAAGCTCATATTGGGACATTATTTTTGACGCAATTAATTAACGTTAATCATCTTTAATGAAAAACGATCCCATGTATCTCAAAATTACATGCTAAGAGTATACAGTATACCAGCTGCAAAGCAAAAAGGGTCAACAAGCTAAGCTAGCTAGCTAACGTGAGCTAGGTTAGCTAACAAGACAGAGACATTTCTTACCTTGCCAAACGCTTGGAACAAGACGAATTTGTGCAAATATCAAATCAGTATTCACATTTCCATTTCGATTATGTTAGCTATAACGTAAACTAAGAATATATTTCATAAATTGTCATCTACTGTAATGTTGGTGTTGATAATTTGAACAAGGCTTGAACCACAGATAGAAAAATGGGAGATATTTCGCCGGATGTATAAATGTGAAGCATCCGCTTGTCGTTTCCACTCAGTACCAAATGTGGTAGTGAGAGTAAGCCCAGTGCAGTGGTTGAAGATGGAACGAGATAGATTTTGGCCGACATTCTGCGCATTTTCTCATCGATGAAACATTTGATCTCAATACCGTTTTCTGTTCTTAAAACTATAATTTGTTATGAACAGAGTGGACTAAGTTTTGTAGACTTTACCCATTGCCAAACATTTTCAAAATCGCGTTGTTTAGAAGGAGCGCAAAGGCGAATTTAGGTTTTGCACACGCGCACTGCACAGAGTAGGCGTTCCCGAACCGAAACATGCAAATATTTTCTACAATGCACCAATAGGATCTCGCTAGCTTGTGCTTGACTCTGCCCACCTCCTTGCTTGTTCTGCCCACTATGACTCATTTGTTCACATTGGAAACAACAGGCTGTGGTCTATCTTAAGTTAGTTATAAAAATCTTTGCTTTAAACTGCGGCTTCAATGACGGTCATCTCTTAAACTTTGAGAACTACAACATCCATCTGGCACCGGTGGATGACGACAGGTTCTACTACCCTTTAATATTTTGTATTTAACAGTGAAGTAAAGATCTTTCTGTTAGTTCTTGAGATATTAGCTACAAAGTCAATAACAAGTTTGTGGAGTTAACGTTACTGTTTCTAAAATCCACCAACTTCTGAAGAAAGCGCGAAATCAACGGTTTCCATGGCGATTAAGCTTCCCTAAAGTTAGCTACTTGTTGCTTGCAGGCGCTTGTTGATTTGCATATGCGATCCCACACTGCTAGCTAGCTAACCAACTGATAATGTCATCTGGATCTCAAAATTCCATACCTAAAGATAGTGATTTATCCATCTATAAATCGTCTGAATTGTTTGATGATGGATTATTGCACGAGATTCCAACAACAAGTAAGTCAGTTAACCTGACTAGCTAGCTATAACATTACTGTACTAGATACTAAAGTCGATCGCAAGCAACTTGTCATAGTGCTGATCCCAGGCGCCATCAGCAGTGACAGCACTGAGCCAACCCCCTTTGGCTATCTAATTAAGCTAGCTACCTCTACTTTCAGGTACAAATGACACCAGTACTGTCTCTAGAAGGTACAAGAATCTGGATGAGTTGAGGTAATTTTGCCAGTTTAAGTTTCTCTAGCTAGCTAACGCGTTACCTGTTAACTGCCCTAACGTTACCTCCTTTTTCAAAACACTAACGTTAGCTACCTACCTGTATTTGAAAACAGATTGTCTGCCTTTTGCACCATGAACCATCATCCATTTGGAAGCGAGTTTGTTAGGTTGGCTTTCTTTCTTTACAGTGAGGAGCTCGACAGACAAACCAAGGAGACCCAAATGCTGCAAGAAGAGGTGGAACATGCAACTAAAATTACAATGGAGAAAATGGGACGCACATTTCCCAGCAGCTCACCCTCACAAATCAATTACTTTCCCATGTTTATGGGTGAGTATGAGGTTTCTTGTGTCATTAAGAAAAATATAGCCATCGCAAAGTGTATACACTAGCTAGCTAGTACTAGCTCTATACAGTAACACATCAGAGCTATTGTCACTCACTACAAAATATGACACTAACCTATTTAGAATTCTGAAACTACCTGTAGTACTTTTCAGTGATACATTTTCCCTATTGACTCCTTTTTTATTTTTTATTTTATTTTTACAGATGGTTCTTCGGAGGAGAACTCAGAAGTGCTGTCTCAGTACCGACCGTCTTTGATCCAGCCTCTAACATATGACCTGGATGGCCTGGATCTGGAGGTGGTCAGAAGTGGTGTAACCTTCCCTGGGAAAGATGTTTTGGAAAATGTAATAGAGGACTACTCTCAGCAGGTGTCTGAGCTCCAGAAGCAGCTGTGTGAGGTTAATCTGAGATGGAGGACTATTTGTTTTCCTTTCCTGCTGAGAGTTGTTGATATAATCTGGTTGAAGGAGGCCTCCTGAATTAAATTATTTGAATCAAAAGCCATGCAATTCTGTGCCACTGAGGTGCCATTGATTGCAGCACATATGCTAATACTTTTTCAGGTGTGTGCGTTTCATGAACAGCAGAAGTTCAAATTCCGTCAGACCATCATCAAGCTGCAGACAAAGTTGCACGAGGTCCAGATTGAGAAAGATGCCCTGACTGATCGAAGGTAATTGATGCTAAAACTCTTGCAATGTAGGCCATTTGTACTGTATACCTTTGGACAGATCTAGGATCATTGTAACTGTAAAAGTAAGGGAGTAAAGGACAAGTTGCCTCAATGTTAATTGTTTGGTCCCTCAGAATGAAAGAGAGCAGAAAACAGGCAGATGTAATGGGGAAAATGCAAGCAATAATCAGAGAGCTGCAAACCAATAAACAGACAGGGGACCAGAGGCTACTGGAGGCTGAGGATGAAGCAAAGTCACAAAGCAGGAAAGCAGAGTCAATGGAGCGGACACTACAGGAGGTGTACTCCACGCTGTTGGCTTATGAGAAACGGTGTAGAAACAATTTGTACACCAGCCATGACGCACTGGGAGTTGCGGTGGAGAAAGTAATACAGGACTTGGAGAATGAGAATCACAATCTGAGAGAAAGATTCCTGCTGGTAAGACAGTCTGTGTTATGTTTTATGCCACACTAAACACTTTTATCAAAGGTTTGACGTGTTGTTCTTGTATCTTTCTATTCCTAACTCATTGTGCCAGCTGAAGGAGCAGATGGAGACTCAAGAACAGAAATGCCAAGGTAAAGCAGAGATACTGTTGAAGGAGCAAAGGGAAAGGTACGTTTCATTAACTTTTGTCAATTCTTGCCACAGTCACTTGGGTTACCTGGGATTAGTAATTCATTCACTTCTCTGATAGCACACACATTCCCTGCATGTAAGGCTGTCTGGTATAGAATTTACCTTTGCCCACTGAGGATTTTTTTGAACTGTAAGTATGTTTACTACATAAGTTCCTTGAGGCGACATGTCAAATTGCCTTGCTTGGCTTGCTTTGCTCTTTTCCAGACTGGAGCAGCTTATTACCAGTCATGACCAGGAGGTGGCGATATTGACTGAGAAATTGAGCAGCTCCAGAAGCAGTGCCTCCAGCTTGTGTGTCCAGGTGGAATTGTTACAGTGAGAGACGTGAATTAACCAGCAATACAATATCTACACATTTCCTGAGTTGAATTAAATTCAAAGCTCTATCTTTCCCCCCCAAATTGATTATATCACCTATATTTTAATTTAGTTGTAAGACATCGGTCTTATCTTTCAGAAAGTGTCCAAAAACATGCATTATTTCCTTCTGACCAGAAAACAAGGTGAGAGTCAGGCTTCAGTGCACCAGTGTCAGGTCAATGACTTGGAGTCAGCTCTCTCCATCCTGCGCTCCGATCTACTGGACGCCCAGCGGGTCCATGAAGACAAGGTAATGGCTACATATACCCATTGTGTTGTAAAATTATTAGAATAATGATAGAGTGGCCTTGGCCTATTCAATCAAAAGTGTAGGAGGTAGACATTGTAACACAGGAGGTTGGTGGCACCTTAATTGGGGTGTACGAGCTCGTGGTAATGGCTGGGGCGGAATAAGTGGAGTGGTATCAAACACATGGTTTCTATGTGTTTGATGCCATTCCATTTGCGCCGTTCCAGACATTATTATGAGCTGTCCTCCCCTCAGCAGCCTCCACTGCATTGTAATATTCTATGTGAAGGTTCTGAAGGTTTGGGTTGTCATGATGTGCCAGGTGGGTGCTCTGGAGAAGCAGTTGGCTGAGGCCCAGTCTCAGGTGGAGGAGGCCCAGAGAGGGAGAGACAGATCCCTCCAGCAGGCAGAGGAGCTGGACTCTCAGCTCTGCCAGCTCACGGTAATACAACCCAGCCTCAGACACAAACAGGGAGGATACAGCCATAGTGTGCTCCTTGCTGCTGTGGAAAAAGCACATTGCACATTTTTCGATTCCAGAAAGCCTACATCTATCAATGTATTTGATATATAAATGGGAATGTGGCTTTGAAAAAAAATCGAAGAAATCCAAACATATGAACACAAACAGCGATGTTTGAATGAGAGTAAGTACTGTATTACGTGTGGGGTCAGTCGGAGCTCCGGCAGGCCCGTGAGGAGCTGGCCCTTGAGAAGAAGCAGACCAAACAGCTGTGGGAGTGGGACACGGGCCATAGTGTGACCAGCGACGGGCTGCGCAGGGAGCTGGAGGAGCGACGCCTGGGGGTGCAGCAGCTGGAGGTTCTGGTGGGATCTCTCAAAGACGACTGCCAGGCACAGATGGAGGCTCAGGTGAGATTTAAATGAAAAGCCTTGAGCTGTTTGTTTAATTTTTAAAAAAGAGGAAAATGACCAAAGGCCTTAGTTGTCAAACACTCATTAAATTTAGTCTCCTTTAGCAGTTGTTGGGCGAGAAGCATCAGTGGGAGCAGCAGGAAGAGCTGGCTGTGTTGCGAGGGGAGCTGAACAGGGCCAGGGACGAGGAGCTGCGGATGCAGGCCCTACAGGGGGACCGGGACGAGGTGCTGAAGAGGGTCCAGGCGCTGCTGGAGGAGAGGGACAGGGAGCTGCAGCTGAGGCAGCAGGAGGCGCAGCAGGGCCGGGCCAGGCTGGAGGAGGCCCAGGGCCGCTGCCAGGCCCTCAGGGCAGAGACTGAGGTGCTGAGGCTCAAGCTGGAGGACCAGGAGAAGATGGTGGACCTGCTGCGGCTGCAGATGGAGAGCACCACCCAGATGACGGTACAGCATGGACGTAGCATTGACTCCCTGCACGATGAGAAGAGCCGCCTCAGCAACCAGCTCAGTGAGCACAAGCTGGAGATCCAACAGCTAAGGGTTGGTTTGTTAGTTAGTTAGCTAGAGTTAGTTGACTATTTAGTTAGTTTTGATCATAGTTTATTTGCATCATCCTACTTTAATTTCATGGTTGGTTGTTTCCTCCCCCTCTGGGCCAGAGATCATACAGGCTGCTAAGGGGAATCCTCAGTTAACACCAATAATTATTCCTTGTCTTGGATTATAATACTCCAATATTTTCTTTTTGGGTATGTTTTCAAAGCTATCCTACCAATAATGTTCAAACCCTGTTGTGTCCCGCCCTATACAGACCAACTTGGAGCAGCGTGAGGAGCGTTTGGCAGTGCTGGAGAAGGAGAGGCAAGTGCAGCAGGCTGGCCTGTCCAAACAGAGCTGCTGTGTCAAGGAGCTGACGCTGGAGAAACAGCAGCTCACTGCTGAGCTAGAGGTGCAACGCATGCAACTGGTCAGCCTCACAGGTACACTGGCTGTCATTATAGATGGCTTTCATATGAGAATATTCCCCTCTTACAGATAAAATGATGCAGCCACTCTGTCTGTTCTTTCATCAGTAGGATAGTGTTGTGGTCATCTGTCTTGCGGCTGGCTCCCTAATCAACATAAATTATTGTGTTGACGTTGTGTCTTTGATTTATCCGATTAAATGTTTTACTCCTGTGACCAAACAGTTATTTGTTAACGTTTCTCTATGAATTATGATCTTTATTAATTCTGCAATAATGAAGAACTTTAAATGATTAGATATAACGGCCTCCATTTCTCCAGTCTTTGGGGAAATACAGGTCTTCAGTGGCAAAAGGCAAGAATAATGCTGAAGTTGCTACACTGTGTTGGAAAAGCACTACAGCATGTACTGTATGTTTTTCATGTTCACCAAGCCCTCATTGTGCTTTGTGTGCGATTGTTTGTGTCCATCTGTCCGTCCTCCAGAGGAGCATGAGGAGTTGAAGAGGCTCCACAGCAGTAAGAGTGAGGAGCAGGAGGGTGTGGTGGTGGGTCTGAAGGCCCAGCTGAAGACCACCCAGGCTGAGATGGACCAGGCCAGGAGCACCCTGAGGACCCTAGAGGGAGCGGACAGACCCGGTCAGCACTGCACATCTGACAAACATCACAGAGAACATTCTATTGTAGCAGAGAATTTTGTGTTTATATGTTTATGGGAAATATACACGATGTGTTTAGGCATGAGGTTTTAGTTGAGAGAACTGACTATTGCAATGGATGAATAAATAGCTCTGGAAGTAATTTATTTTTATTTGATTCCAACCGTCATATTTCTAGACTAACCCATCTTTCCCAGTACACTACCATTTTACTATTTGATTTGCAATATATCCACCTATTTTACTGTGATGTCTTAACGAGGGTCTAAACGTTTCTATTTGTACCATTTCTACCGAGATTGCCCCAAAAAATACATTGTTTACCTAAGAGTATAATTATATTTTCCATTGTTTGATCGTGGTTTTTCAGATCTCCTAACAGTACTGTTTGTAGGTCCATCTGAACACAGACATTATGACTTAACAACCACTCCTGGACCTGACTCCAAAAGTGAGCCACCGAAGGACAGAACCAAAAGAGATGATCTATTGATTCTGTTTCCTCGTGGCAGTCAGCACAGGGATGACTGTTCAATGCCCTGTATATTGAGCATTCTTTTTGTGGCGAGAATAATAATAGTTTAAATTGAAAAGAGCGTTCTGCCTCTTCTGGAGGATGAAATTGGAATTGTAGCCAACTCTGTATCGCTTAATAAAAAAAAAACAGGATACTTTAAACAGGAATCCATTGTCAATCCACCGGATTGGTTTTAATCTGTATAACGGCAAAAATATCCCTTTTGAACATTAGATGTGCCTCTTACTAGCATGCTGGAAAACCAGTTTGGATTTAAATATAATTTCAGTATAATGGAGGCTTTCATTCATTCCCCCCCCTCCACTGAGTAGACAGAAAGAGATGAGAGTAAATGGACCTTGATTGACTCGTCCTCTCTGCCCTGCCTCCCCTTTTTCTGTCCAGGCCTGAAGGTTGCCATGGGGATGCAGAAGCAGATAAAAACCAAGAGAGAACAGATCGACTCTCTCCAGGGCCGAATCCAACTACTGGAGGAGACCATGGACAAACTGAGCCAGGTAGGAACACCTCAAAGTCTGCTTTAGGGCTCCATGATGCAAAACTCCAAATTCTGAGGTAATCCACCTTGCCTCTCGCTATTACACATGCACAGGCTTCCACACAGAACAAAGGCCTGTGTCCTTAATAATGTAGGGATTTTAAACAACAAGGGATTCTGGTGTTTTACTTAAATGTATAATAATCTGCCTTTCAATATGGTCTCTCTCTTCCCAGGAAAAGCGTTACCAGAGTCTGGAGAGTAAGCGTCAGGTCCAGGAGCTGGCCTCCGTTACAGAGGAGAAGAGACAGATGGCAGCTGAGTTGGAGACCGTCCGTTCCCTGGAGAGACAGCTCAGGGAGAAAGTCGCCAAACTGGAGGTGTCCCTACACCAGGTAGTGTGGCACTACCTTGTATTTACACTCACTTTATCACACACTGTATCAAGAGAAATGTACGATTTGCTGTGACTGACCCCCTTTTTACACTTACTATGTTCCTCAGATGTCTGGGAGCTTTATCGACTGTCAAGACTTCATCCAGTGGCAAGAGCAGGCGTTTGTGCGGCTGAAGCTGCAGCATGCTCTGGATGTGAAGGTACAGTTCAGTAAGACGGGTGTACATTTGCCTCTATAGAGGTCTAATGCATATGCTGTTTTGTTGTTTCTGTCTACACCCTTCTACTGTATGCTTTTTCAAGGGCTGTGTCTTTTCAGCAGGAGTTGCAGGGCCAAAACCTGCGAGACACAGGGAATGCTCAGCGTGCTTCCCCTACCAGCCTCACAGCCCGGAATGCACTATCCTCCACCCAGCACGGCTCTAACTGCCTGCTAGAGGTAAATAATAATAATAAAATAAATCAATGCAGAAACCTCCTACAAAATGGCTCCAATCCTCCCAGGGTCTGGCTTTGTTGCTGTTTATTCAGCTGTGGAAAACAAAGCTCAGCACATCTGACTTCCCCAAAATGAAAAACACACCCTGATTGCATTCCTGTGGTAGCGCGACAGACTCGTTCATCAACCATTTGACTTGACTCCGGAACAGCCGGATTGAAGCCAATTTATTCAAAGCATGGAGGGATTCCAGATAGTAAACAATAGATTTCTGTGTTGAATATACTGTAATCCTTATTGGTATTGGCCATAATGGTATTTTACACAGCACCTCTTCACCCCTGTTGCAGTTGAAGCCTCAGCGGCTGCTGGAAAGCCCCACTATGGAGCTGCGTTCTCTAGTCAAAGAGCTGCGATGTGTGATTTCTGAGAACCCCGGACCACACACCAACACCAGCATCCTCAGAAGGAGCTCTGCTCCAGAGAGAGCGCACAGGACCACACTGTAAGTCTGTCCTCACTATTAGAGGTCATGTGGCCATTAGAGGTCATGATGTTACTCGTTTTCGCCCCACATTTTATAGTTGTGCGCCAATCAGTTTATTTCACAACCACTAGTGACATGTTACTCAAATGTTTACAAAGATTGTGTTCTATTTGGTTCTCAATCAACCCATTAACTACAATCATGTGGATCCTCTTTCGTTCAAATTTGATACAATAAAATATTTATCTTCCAGCAATGAAGTCACCAAATGTTTTACAAGCAATGCCAAAACGACAAAGGGGACCTACTGCAGGTAAGCGCATGTATCCTTGAACCTCTGTGTCTGACTGCCTGAGCATGGCTGTTGGCAACCGGCCCCTACCTGTGTATTGGCTCTTCTACTCTTCAGGCCACATGCACGCTTCGTTCTAATGCGTGTTTGTGTATGCAATATGTGGAGTGGTGTGCCTCACCCCCTTAGGACAACTGATCTGGATGAGCGGAATTTAAACAGCACCTTCTCAAGCGACAGTGAGTTTATCTTTGTTGGTACGACCAACCACTTAAACACAGTTAACAAAGCATGTGCTTAATTTCCCTTATTTCACGTTTCGTATCACTCTTCTAGTCTCCTTTATCATCCATGTGGTCCCCTCAAACGTAATATGATTAAGGTATACACAATTTTGATCAGTTAATCATTCCTCCACTTTAGACATTGTTTGCTATTTCTACAGGCCATGACTTATCTTTTGTTGCATCTCTGCCTTGCTACACATCGTCCCCTCGAGCCATGGCACTGGGCCGCACGTCCCCTGTACACTCACTCCTGACCACTGACCACAACCCTACGCATCTACAACAGAGCAGGCCTCTGCCCCAGGCAGCAAGCCCTCTTGCAGACACATGCACCGTGTAAGTCCTACTGCCTTCACTGTTATTACACCTCTGTGTGTAACCAATGTGGGAGACAACAGGCCTTCTATGCCCCACTTAAATGGGCTTGGAGTTCCTCTGTTACTACAGTATGTCATCATAATAATGTTTGAATTTCAGAACTCTAATCTGATGACTTCTGAGTGAGTTACTTGTAGTTTCACTTAATGTTTATCCAGTGGCCAATCCGCAGGCTGAGTTGACAGGACACACATGCAAGCACTTGCAAGGAAAACTGGACAGCCTTCAAAACATGGTGGAGGACTTGCAGATGAAGAACCAAGGTTTGTGGAGCAGAGACAGTGTTTTTGTGTTCATATGACTGTTGTGCAGTGGTCGGTGACTGACATCATTGCCAAAGAACTGAATCTGTATTTAGAGTTTTGAATTAGCCTAGATACCAATGTTGTCCACACTCTACAGTCGTGAGAATCCAGACTTCCTTGTTATGTCTATCCTTCCCTGCCTTGCGTAGCAGACCAAAATGTTTAACAGGAATGTAATCAGGACATAGAGAATCAGGAAAAAGACGATATTGGTTTGGGGGTAGGTCAATTTCATGATGTATAAATAGATGGTTTAGCTGACAACGTCACAAAAACGATGCATGCTTCAATGGGGCAGAAGTCCTTGAGTTGTTGTAATTCTGGATGACCAGATGGCTACAAACAATGACAAGAAACTGCCATGTGGGGAATCGTAAGTGACTCGTTTCATCTTGTTCTTGATACCATGTCTTGTTTTAAGGTGTTTTGACTGATTTCCTGTCAACGCTAATATGGCTAAAATTCACAAGCTAGCTAACCAACAACTGTAGCAATGTATTTGAGCGACAATAAGTGCTCATTGTGCAAATGTATTTATGTTTTTAATAAACATTGGAGACTGTGGTCCTCTGTAGCTCAATTGGTAGAGCATGGTGCTTGTAACGCCAGGGTAGTGGGTTCGATCCCCAGGACCACCCATATGTATGCACACATGACTGTAAGTCGCTTTGGATAAAAGCGTCTGCTAAATGGCTTATTATTATTATTATTATTATTAAATATAGTTTACGTGTCGTCAACAATCTAAGCCAACCCCGTCTGTTTTGCCCCATAGTTGAGCACGCATCAGTTTTGTTGCTAAACAACCAACCTGTCTATAGAGTTTGATGTCAGAAAAACATGAATTCCTGATTAATCTGGATAAATTACATTGCTGTTTATGTCCGATAAGAAACTATTGTCCCAAAGGTGGAATTTGTCATGAAAACACACTTTCTGTGAGAAACTCTACAAAATAAATGTTAAGTAATTTATGTTGTTTTTTTACAGAAATGTCCTCTATGATAAAGGGTCAGGAGAGGAGGTTGATGTTCAAAGACAAAGGGAGGCTTTATAACAAGCAAGGCTCTGGGTGAATGTCTACATGTGTAACAAAAATAAACTTGTATTTAAATAAAGGCACTATGATTATTGTGAATTGTCTTTTATTCATTCAAATTGCCAATGTCCATGGCATGTTACTTCCAACACCGCAAGATTGCCACCAAATATGATGACAGAAGGATAAACAGGCTAGCATCTCTCTTGTTATTCATGAAAGATGTCATTATTCAAGGTAACTGAGGATGATCTCTGATGGACATGCATTGACAGACAGTCAATGTTTTCGAAATTTGATAAACAAGATACACTTTTATTTTTTATTAGCGTAGCATCACATTTTTGAGTACTATTGTGAAACTGACCTACATATTGCCTATTGAAACCTGCCTGAAGGACCAATTTCCCTTTCCATGTTGAAGCCGAGCATGCTGCATCTGGCCTTGATCATTGTCTCGCTCCTCTTCTGCAGAGAGAAGACTCAGAAACTATAAAATAGAAGAAAAGTCCAAGTTAAAAAACCCAACCAATCTATTTATCAAAACAATTTTTAAATCATATTAACTGGTGCCTGTGCTGTGAAGCATGCACTGCGTAAACATGTGAAGCAATGTTGTCTTACCCTACCTTCAGCCCGATGCTGATGATGAACGCTTGAATCCCATGCATCTGTTTCAGTTCCTCGTGCTTTTGAGAAGACAAAAATATAATTTCAGATAATTTTAACTGAAATGTCAAGGGGGATTGATGGTCTGTCAAAATCAGTTGTCTCATAATTACCCACAAAAGGACAAGTGTAAGAGTTATACTAAAGACCCACCATTTCACTTGGTTGTGGTGGAAACTCAATGTCCTCAGGGATGATATTGGGGTCTCGTAATGGTTCATCAGCATCTCTCTACTTCTATGTTTTAGCATCTAGGTACCATGCTCCATATTTGGGCCTTTTAGTTCCTGGTTTGCTCCGTTGAACATGAGCATTTTATATATATATTTTTTACATTGGCAGGAAACAAGAAATAAAATACAGACTGCTATATCGGTCTGCTAATACAGGACTAGTAAAGCCCCAGTGCACTACTTTTGTGAAGTAAAAAATAGATTTTTCAGGGGGTGCTGCATCACCCTCAGTACCCCTACTTCCTGTGGCTATGTGCATAGTCCTTCTCACCTTCTTTATGGTCATGGCTGGTTTGTGTTAGATGTGCTTACCAATGAGGTGACCCAGTCACAGAAAAGCTTAGTGACGTTCTTGATGTCCTCCTCTTGAGATGGGGAGCACAGTCATTTGACATTGACTATCTGGTCTTCCTTGGCACTGCTCTGCTTTGCTTGCAGCCCTTTGGGCAGGAATCGTCCGTCCTTTATTTAAAAAAAAAAGGGTTAACAACAGCAATGTATATACAGTGGGGGAAAAAAAGTATTTAGTCAGCCACCAATTGTGCAAGTTCTCCCACTTAAAAAGATGAGAGAGGCCTGTAATTTTCATCATAGGTACACGTCAACTATGACAGACAAAATGAGAAGAAAAAAAAATCCAGAAAATCACATTGTAGGATTTTTAATGAATTTATTTGCAAATTATGGTGGAAAATAAGTATTTGGTCAATAACAAAAGTTTCTCAATACTTTGTTATATACCCTTTGTTGGCAATGACACAGGTCAAACGTTTTCTGTAAGTCTTCACAAGGTTTTCACACACTGTTGCTGGTATTTTGGCCCATTCCTCCATGCAGATCTCCTCTAGAGCAGTGATGTTTTGGGGCTGTCGCTGGGCAACACAGACTTTCAACTCCCTCCAAAGATTTTCTATGGGGTTGAGATCTGGAGACTGGCTAGGCCACTCCAGGACCTTGAAATGCTTCTTACGAAGCCACTCCTTCGTTGCCCGGGCGGTGTGTTTGGGATCATTGTCATGCTGAAAGACCCAGCCACGTTTCATCTTCAATGCCCTTGCTGATGGAAGGAGGTTTTCACTCAAAATCTCACGATACATGGCCCCATTCATTCTTTCCTTTACACGGATCAGTCGTCCTGGTCCCTTTGCAGAAAAACAGCCCCAAAGCATGATGTTTCCACCCCCATGCTTCACAGTAGGTATGGTGTTCTTTGGATGCAACTCAGCATTCTTTGTCCTCCAAACACGATGAGTTGAGTTTTTATCAAAAGGTTCTATTTTGGTTTCATCTGACCATATGACATTCTCCCAATCCTCTTCTGGATCATCCAAATGCACTCTAGCAAACTTCAGACGGGCCTGGACATGTACTGGCTTAAGCAGGGGGACACTGCAGGATTTGAGTCCCTGGCGGCGTAGTGTGTTACTGATGGTAGGCTTTGTTACTTTGGTCCCAGCTCTCTGCAGGTCATTCACTAGGTCCCCCCGTGTTGTTCTGGGATTTTTGCTCACCGTTCTTGTGATCATTTTGACCCCACAGGGTGAGATCTTGCGTGGTGCCCCAGATCGAGGGAGATTATCAGTGGTCTTGTATGTCTTCCATTTCCTAATAATTGCTCCCACAGTTGATTTCTTCAAACCAAGCTGCTTACCTATTGCAGATTCAGTCTTCCCAGCCTGGTGCAGGTCTACAATTTTGTTTCTGGTATCCTTTGACAGCTCTTTGGTCTTGGCCATAGTGGAGTTTGGAGTGTGACTGTTTGAGGTTGTGGACAGGTGTCTTTTATACTGATAACCACGTTCAAACAGGTGCCATTAATACAGGTAACGAGTGGAGGACAGAGGAGCCTCTTAAAGAAGAAGTTACAGGTCTGTGAGAGCCAGAAATCTTGCTTGTTTGTAGGTGACCAAATACTTATTTTCCACCATAATTTGCAAATAAATTCATAAAAAATCCCTTTTTCCCTCAATTTGTCTGTCATAGTTGACGTGTACCTATGATGAAAATTACAGGCCTCTCATCTTTTTAAGTGGGAGAACTTGCACAATTGGTGGCTGACTAAATACTTTTTTCCCCCACTGTATCATACATCACCAGTACTTATACCAGTAGATCAGGGCCGGGCTCTATCCTTTTGGGGGCCCTAAGTGAGATTTGGTTGGGGGGACCCCCCACCTCGCGGCAAAACATTTTAGTGGTCCCTCTCTTGACGGTGGAGAGGTTTTTTCCAGCAATTCTACACATTTGGCAATGTCTTATGCCATGTTAATATGATATCTGAGTGAGAATGACTAACAAAATCAATTGGGGCCTACTAGAGGTCAGGGCACATGCCCAGTTGATATTCGGCCATGATTACTACACATTAAGATAGCTGGCAAGACTATTCTTACTCAATAGTAAGTTGAGATCCCAACTGAGTTCCTTTTGGTCAGGGGCCGGGGGCCCTAAGCAAGTGCTTATGCCAGGAACCGGTCCTGCCCTACATGTACAATTTATACCCTAGTAATGAAGAGTTTGCCCCAAAACAAACTTCTCTGGAAATTACATTGCAGTGACAGATGGTCCCTCTCTCACTTCCTCCTCTGACTCGGATTTCTGCATGATGGTTTCACACAGCTCTGTGCAGTCGTCCGCATGCTCCTCTTTTTCTGGTGAAGTCACTGCAGAAGCTCTGTTCACACACATATCCGGGCCCAGGACACATATAACCTGA